GATACCGGAGTAAAGTTTTCGAGTATAGGCTTACTACATATACTATATATATATACGGGTTACACACCCTCGATTAAAGAAATAGAACGTGTTTTCCACTAAACTGTGTATTTTATGTGCACTCGTTTTAGAAACAAAGTGGGGTACAGTCTGGCAAGTAGAACATGGCGGTAGTGTAGTAATACATGAATTTACACCATTGGTGTCTTGTAGGCTGTTTCCCTTGGCCGGTCGATTATCTAGAAAAAAAAATAGCCTTTCCATTCTCCCCTCATCATATTTTATACTTAAGTCAACTTTGGGTTGGCAACTAACAAATGTATAAAATCACAATCCACCAATTCGAAAAAACAGTGATAATATTATTTTGGAAACACATCTCGTTTGTGTATCAAATTATATAATAATATATATATATATATATTTTTTTTTTGGTGGGGGTGTATTTAATTGGTTAGAAGTATTGTAATATTTTGATATCTAAAATTTGTTATAGTTTGGAATTTAAATAAATGTAAAGATTATCCCTTTTTGCCAGGTAATGAATGTATATATTATTGTTAATATGCCAATTATTTAATATTATATTAGTTACAACATTATTTTTGTACAAAACAAACAAGGTTATACGTAAATGTATACATTTTGAAAATATCTATCCGGATGCATTTCTAATTTTTAACTTATGAATATTCAAAACAAGTGTGTATAGTGTATTTTATTATGTAAATTGCATTGTAATGTGTTCGGAATCATTAATACGAATTACATGCTCATAATATTAATTTATACATATTTTATTAAAACATTACTAGATAAAGGTAGTTTGTTATTTTATGTATAGTAGGTGTATACGAGTTGTAAACGCTAGATTAACGTACATATTATAATATTCAATAACCTATTTTTGAAGCAAATATATAAAATAAAAATTGTGAAAAAATTACTTATTGTTAGACCAGGTAGGTGTACACATGAGTTTAATTCAGGACCAACTTATATATTAATACCATACGTAAACATACATAACTATACGGTTGATACATATATATTATACTTATAATAGCGTTTGAAATGTGTGAAGTGACAAAGACAAATATGTTTAGTTATCCTGTATGTTCATTCCATGCTTAATTTAAACTATGCCAGCCTAGTTTTGACTTTGTAATATTAACGAAAATCAACTATTTGCCGTACAGTCAACATTTTACCGGTGGCGACCGCGTTATTATTCATGACATTTATATATTATAACAATTTACCACCTTCTTTGAAGGAGTCCAAACAAAACTTCAAATTCTCTCCAAGCAAATTGCTCTGAAACTACTATAATTATAACCTCCAAGTAATTTGTCAACAATAGTTAATTAGCGAAGCATCATTAGTAATTAATGTCTACATAATTTGTCTTCAACATGAATAGTATCTCATCCGTAAATTCTACATAGAATTTGCACCAAACAACATGTTGCAAAAACTCAATTCCTTTAATTAATTGTGATATATTAATTGATTTACTAATACTAATATATGTCGATTATTTTTTAAAACCATTGTACGTTTTATTACATTCCAGTTATCTTAGAAAATATATAAACCTTATCTTTTAACGAAATATCTATATAGAACACGAAGTTACTTCACCAGAATGAATAATATAAATGGACTTTGCAAATTAAATGTTATTATACTTATTTTTATGTATGGGCTTTTAGTTTAATTAAAAATGAAAGCAATATACAACTTTCGAAATAAAAATCTTTTCTTTTTTAATCTTAATGTTCCGGTCTTAATAAGTGATTTATTTAATCTGCCCAGTTCTGATATTGATCTTATGAGTTGTTTTTATGTTAAAAAAAAAAGAAAATTAAATTGATATCCCGGGAAACAATATTTACCATCGTATTTTGTGCAATGTAATATATTTTTGAAAAAAATGTAATAACAACATTGTTTTCAGTTTCAACGTGATTAAAAACAATATTCATAAACTTCTACTCTATTGCATACTAATTATTATGAATTGATATTATTGAAAGCGACTTCATCAATGTATGTATATATTTATATAAAAGTAAAAAAGCTAATCCGATAACGGTCGAACTCGGGTATAAAATTGATTGTGTCTACTCAGTGCTTTCTATATATCTACAGTTTAATTGATCGAGTAATTCGATATGTTTACCATTTGCTCAATGTTATTCTGTTAAAAAAACATCTTCATAAAATATAATGCTATCGGATATCATTTCACCACAATATTAATTCAACACAAACTGACAGATGGATACTACGTAATAATTACTCGTAGTTTACCAATTTATTTCCAGAACTTGGGAAAAATACGTTTCCGGTTAAATGCAATATAAAACGTCATCGAATATAGGCCATTATATGAAATTGCATTGGTGTAGTAGCCTGTATTTTATCACATTACTTAGGTTCTAAACACACCAGTTGCTATTAATTACATTTAAACATAAAACAAAAAACAAAAATCTCTCCTCTACGCAGTTTGTCTTTCAATTAATGGACTGTACAAAATGACAGCTGCTTATAATATTGAATAGTACAAGGAGAAGTTCAGTCTTGGACCACTTGATAAAAAGCTATACAGCCATCACTTAATAGGGCGTTGAGGTGACGACAGTTGTGTTGTCCACAATGGACATATCGTTTTGTCGGCAACGATTAAAACGTTCCGGTTAACCGATTCTATTGTGTTTTGCGGTTTCGTAGTGGGGGAGGGGGGACAGGAAAAGGGGCGATTCAGGGGAGGGACATCGATACTCTTAGTCAGACCATGCAGTTGTACACGGCACCGTTTAATCATCTCTGCACAGCGTTGACGATGACAATCTCCCAATCAATACCATAATCTGAAATCTTGCCTCCTCTCCGTTATTCAGCCAACACCCTCCCCCCCAAATCCGGCGCCGCCATCAATCCTTTTTATAATGTGATGTACACGCGACTACTCTTACCCCGGTCGTTTCCACTGGATCGTTCCTTCGCCCGGGTCTTCCTTTTGGGTTCACTGAAATGAATAGTTAGAGGTCATTAAATCCTTTCAGAATGAAATCCGCGTGAATAATGTGACCGAGAAGATCGCTTAACAAGTGTTACGTCATTAATAAAACTCCACCTTCGTCTCCGCCGAGTTCGCCTGGGATTAATGGGTTGTATCTTCTTGCACGGGTTTGAAACCCTAGTGATTAACGTCCGGATAAGAAGAAAATTACAAGTTCCAAAACGCCGTCAGTAGGTGAAATTTACATTCACTATATACACTATAGAGGCAATATTGACAACGTCAAACTGCTAGTTTTTTGTATGGCTGTTAACTCTTGTTACACGCTTAATAACTTTGAATGAAAATATGATAACGTTAGTGGCAGTTATATTGTTGTATACACATTTTCCAGTACAAACCTTACAAAATTCCATTGACCAAAACATATCTATCCAATCCAATATGTATAATATGTGTCAGAGACCCGATAGCTACACTAAAGTATCAATTAAGTAACCAGAATGTTGCTTCCGTTGACTTGCCATCTTGACCAACTGTTGTAGACTACTGACGCTTATTTGCTTTACACTTATTGTGTGATAACTCACAACACACACACACACACACACCTCTAAGATGAATTCAACACATTTGTGTATTAGTCGCCTTTTTGACACATCCTGAATTATACTGTTATTGAAAATTTGTTTGTGGTAAGGAGAGGGGAGTAGTATGATAATGTATATTCTCATGACGTTACCAGGTGGTCACCACTTTGTGATAACACTGAAATATTAAATAATATAATAGATATAATGCAGAGGTTAGCTATTTATAATAATACTATTCCATGTGGCGCATCACTAAAATGTCCAAATATACTTTATTAGGGTTATGAACCAATCAATTTTCATTCGGTGTTTGTTATAATATTATATTTTATGGACGAGTTGGTACTTTTTTCCGGATGCTATTTATTTTGTTGCAAACTTACGTCTCGTGGGAACGGAGTAATGCAAAAGTATTTTATTATAAGTTGACAAACAACGTAATACTGTTTTGAGCGTTTCGGCTGAATACAAAATTTGGCTCATAATATTGAGAACAATATTATGGGCGTTTGTTTGAACAAATCACCATACATTTGTTTCATTGTATTATCCACGCACCAATTTAACATTGTTGATATTTTATAAATGTATCAGGTTTGTTGTAAACTATTTTGTTTATTTTTTAAAAAAAGTTGGTTGTGGTCCAAAATAAAGATATATAATTCTGTGGCTTGGAGCAAGAAGGGCCAATGTCACTTTTTGCAACTTTCGGAAAATGAGCTTTGAATTTTTTATTTTCCATTATGCTCTATGTTAATATTTTTATCAAACTCTTCATGAGTAATTAATTTTTTGGCCTCAGAGTGTGATTTTTTCACAGTATATAAAGAATGATTCAATTTTTGCGATTAGCGGACTAACTCATTTATGCACAAATTTGACATTGGCCCTTCTTGCTCCAAGCCACAGAATTGTATTATAGTAAATAGCACACATACTATATTATAATACTCGTTTGAGGTTTTGAGAATAATAATTGTTGTGCGACTTTTAGAATTAAAGTTTTTAAGAAGGAGTATCAGCCGTGTTATCGTTACTCCGTTTCCATTTAAAAACATGATATCAAAATATGTTGACCGTTAATTATGTATTATTAAGCATTGAAAGATAATCATCGCATCGGTATTATTATTATATGGGTGCGTTTCAAATAATCCTTCGTGTCATTATTATTATTATTATTACATTGGTTTAACTCATTAGACGTTTAAATAGATAACACCGCGGTTAATGTCTATTATAATATATCACACGAAACGATTAAATCGGTAAGCCCGACAAATTTGCGGTCGACCGCCGCTATTACCGCACTAAGGAATTTCATTTACTCTAATATGGTCGGCTAATATTCGTCATTATTTACTCGTTAACGACACATTGATTCGTGGCGGGCCTCGTTTCTGCGATCGGGCTCTATAAACTTTTGTATCAGCTCTCGTTAGACGGCTACCATAGCTATTATAATATGAGCTGCAATCACTTTTACACCATCGTCGATTTTAAACACACACACACATACACGTTTAAGACACACGAATGTATTATGGTTTCCACTATAGAGACCCCGTAAGTACTTAACTCCGCGTATAACTAGCTGCTGTTTCAGTCGAATGTCGTATAATGTACACAAATGGCGATCTCATGCAGCCTCAACTTTGTCCGTTTTCGAGAAAGATCCGGCGTTCGTTTCTAATGGCCGAGAAGTTTAACCTCAGCACGAGATGTAAGTAAATGGGACTCTCGAGCAGTTTAGATCACCGCCAAGAGTGCAATTTAATGCGATGACAGTACCTAATCACGCGTTTAAAACGGTTTTGTCAATTATCCAAAGCGATGTCGATTAACGTCGCGTCGTTTTCGGTCGTACATTATTGTTTTACTATTGAATAGATACTAACAATTTTGTAATAATCTATGAACACAAAAACAAAGCCATAACATTTACATACGTTTAGAATTATACATTTTTTGTTGAAGTTTAGTGGAAAATATTACAAATATAACGTGTGTTTGATGTTTAGAAAACAACTTCATATGTGTGATAATTAACCCTCACACACTCGTGCTGGTGTTTTTTGTACACCAAACTTTTATTTAATTAATTTTTTTTTAATTAAAAAAACGTTGACAATTAAATACAAAAACAAAAACCAAGTTCTTCTACAAGTGAATATTTAATAAATAAAGCTAACTGCCATGTTGTTTTTTGGATAAACTACATTGGTGTACACCACTCGTGTAATTATTGAAAAAAACAGATAGTGGAGTTAGGGTTAAATTTATGGTATTTCGAAAGTAGAGTTGAATAATTTTTTATATATTTATTTTGATTTCCTGTCAAACCATAATGTACAAATACGGTCGAATTCATTAACAATGTATACATAGTATTTTACTATTTTTAATAAATATATTTTTTTAATTCTTTATTGCTTCGTGGGATGTTTAAAAAGCCACCTAAGCCACCTTTGTAATTTGTATAGGTTTTGTTTCGATAACACAACAATGCACGTGGACTTTCATAAAAGTTCGGTGCCTATATTTTTTTTTATCGACGTTAACTTATTTAACGTCATCCGTTATCATGCGATTCGGTCTCAAAGTTTTGCCCCCCACAAAGTCGCTTCTGGTACCTCTCGCGATAAACCCGTGTTTAATTATTAATATTCAAACTGCCTTGAACTTGCTGCGGTGGTGGCGACCAGAAGGCCCGTTAATATATTGGTTACTATTTGGCATTTTATCGCTTATTGAATTCCGATTGGCGCTCAGCAGCCGACCGTTTTATGCACAAATCACGTACGCGCCCGTTAAATTCGTTTAATCTATGTGATACGATATAACTTTTACCGCTTTTACACTTATCCCTATCTAAATGCGATCCCTTTTGACGGCAACGCAAATGCCTTAATCATGTGCGGTATTCGCTAACTTTGCTCGACCCGCGTATGAACGGGCCCAGTTAAAAATTAAATCAAGAACCAGCCAGGATGATAACGCGGATAAGAAAATAATTTAGTTTTTTAACAATCAAACCATTGTAACAAAATCGCATTTAATAGGTACCGGCTAAAAAAAACCGTCACGCGTTCAATAATTTATATAAGTTTGGTTTTTGTCTCGAGCATTGAAGGTAGGCATTGTAGAAAAACGTTTCGATAGTGAATGTACGACTGAACAAGAGTTTATGTTAATAAGAATGTCTGTGACACTAATTAGAGTAACAAGAACATTCTGTAATGCGGCCAGTCATTTGATGTATGGATGTGTGTATTGGGCATTAGGTGGGACGAGAGAGGTAAATTGAAATGGCTTAGTAAAAAAACTCCTAATTGCAATTAGTGTACCTTATAGTGATTGAATCATACTATATAACTGTTGTTTCAGAGTGGGGTGCCGTTTTAATTTATGTCGGAGTAGCAGAAAGAAGACGTTCCAAGAACTTAACATCGAAATCAAACATTTTTCAAATCAAGTAGAATCAATAATGGCTAATGACTGCTTTGAACTATGTTGTGTAGGTTTACACAAACTATATACATAGAATTCGGTAAAATTATTATTATCCGTAGTCATGATATAATATTATACTATGTTATGTACAGTACAGTAACCCATTTGATCGATATAATAATATGGCTCCGACCGACTATGAATAACTCAATTCAACGCGCGGTGTTGTAATTTATAGAAAATGCATATTGTAGGTTGGTCGCTCGTGTCCTATTCACAGTCTACGTCATTGTCTGTCCGTTAATTTACAAAGCACAATATATTATATTTGATGTAATAGATGTGGAAAAAATATACCATGTGCAAGCCAAAAACGGTCGTATTAGCAACTGCTGTTGTCTAGTTTATAAACTACTACGCGTACTCAATATTGTATCAAGAAAACAGTTTTTTTGTTGACCGCACGTCACGGTTCGTTTGTACTACCCATATACTGACAAAGTAAACATAGGTATGCAATATACATACACCGTACGGTTGTTAGTTTCACCCCCTCTGTCTATAATATAATACTCGTCGGTAAACCTTAACCCAATATTTTTCAAAGCTAAAATATCTTTACACAAATATCAATATGACAATATCATTCATTTAATCGCTTCCCTATTTATATGTATTTTGACAACCTCGAATACCAACAGCAATGAAATTCGACAATAATAAACACAGTATATTTGGTTTGCGATTTCATACATTTCATTAATTATGCATGTGTGTGTGTGTTTGTGTGTACAGACATAGCTATCAGTACTAAACAGCGTGTCGGTACACATATTGAAAAATGTGTAAATAAAATAAACGTTTCGTATGAATTTTACTTTTATAAAGAGCCATTGGTTTTGACTTGGGTGTACATGTGTCACATTGATAGGTATTTTTTTTTATGGTTTATTCAAATAAAAATAACAACACATATAATATTTTGTAAATACCAAAATAAAACACCATTATTTTTATTATGGTCATACATATTTTTTTTACGCTTATTTCATTTAAATAGCTTTTTAGACGTTATGTAGGTGTAGTAAACATTTCGATTTGAAGCCAAAGTAGGCCTAATAAGTTGTTTTATTTATTTGAAGACAATGATAAAATAACAATATCAAGGAACACAAAATGGAATAATACCACAGCATATAGCAGCCATTGGTACAGTCTAATAATGTCAATGATCACATTAAACGTATCAAACGAAACGTTAACTATACATAACGTACTCAGCTCGAGTACATGTGTAAATATAAAGTTTAGTTGCGAAAAACTTTTCGGTTCGAGCCACTGACGTATGGTGTGTGCGGTAAGAGGTTTAGCCAAAGTTTTTCGGATGAGAGAAGTGCCAAGCTTAAAACTAGCGAAAATTCTCCCCAGCATATAATGGTTTAAGAACCGAGAATTATTTATTGTGAACACATAGGTAGGTATTGTGCTCGTGTGCAAATTTTCCGACGACAAACCGAATGCCGGGAAACACTAAAAGTGTACGCGAGCGTGACAATAGCTTTTTATTTTTACATTTTAAATCGATCATACGCAAACGGTTCTTGTATAAAACGCACTTTCGCCTCGCCGGAGAACCATAATACAATTATTAATAATAGAAGTTTCGACCGGAGGCATGCCAATTATTAGTTAGTGCTGTTATTATTAAGATGCCTATTGATTGCTTGCCGTGTTTACTTTTGTGTCCGCACTGTTTGCCTTCGAGTATAACCTCTCGAGGAAAACTTGGACAGTTCTGCTAACAACGAATATTGTACACAATAATAATATAATATATATATATATATATATTTATTAGAAACTCAGCTTGTAATGCGTTTACCAATACAAATCAATCAAACGTCTCGAGATTTCGTTGTTTGTAAAAGGAGTACGCCTGTGGAATAATTTTGTGGTTCCTATTAATTGTAGTATGCAAACACATCACAAACATTTATGCTTATTGGTAGGTAAACGCAGTTTGTTTTTTAACGGAAAATTAATAAAGTGATGGGTTATCGTCATGTTTAAGTTAGGTTAAATTTGACTTACCGTTCTGTTGGCTAGATTTTTGACCCTGCAGTTGAGGTAAGCTGTTTTGCCTAAAGGAGCTGTCACATTTTTAGAAGCCGCCTTGTCGAAGTAAGGAAGATTGGGTTTTCCCGAAAATTCGCCCAAAGTGTTTTGATGTTTACTGGATTTGCTTAGCAGACCATCTGCAATGTCTGTAAAAAACAACAAAATAATAGTCTGTTATTTAACCAAGTTTTAAAATCAATATCTGCAGTTATATGCAGCGGTTTCCAAACTATACACCGTTCCAGAGCTCTTGCAGGAAAATAAAAAAATATTATATTTTACAATTATGTAATATTGTAAAATATAATGTAATGTATAATGTAGATGTAGATGTTTTAAATAAATTTGTATTATTTAAATAGGTTATTATCAATGTGTTTATTTTTTATTCATATTCATCGTGGTATTCACAGCAGTGCACCGCTGGTTAAAAAGTTCGGGAACCGCTGTCTGAATGTATAAAATATATTTTCTAATATCATAAAATACAATGTACGCGAAAAACCAAGAATTCAAAAAATCAAACTATTTGTTTGGCTAAACGATAATCATCACTACAGTTGAGAAACATTACTCAAATTGACAATTAGTATAGTCCAAAAATAAAAACTAACAGTAGTGTACCATATTTACATCCAATTATCAAGACTAGATCTACAATTAATTTTTATACGGTGTAGCAGATTTCTTATCTGCGACTCGACTGTACAACTTCTCGCTTTAACAACGGCCATTACAAGGGACTTGCGGTTGATCAACGTATCAATAAATCATATAGTTCCGTATACGTGTACCTATATCCAAACCTTTACGTGCAATCAAAACACGCCCTGGGACACGAACTGGAGGATTTATGGCGAAATTACGGCTGAACCGAAACATTTTACAGGTTGTTCGAGGCGTTGCCCGTCATTGCGGTCACTATTGTAATTTTAACAAACCGTTTTTATATGCCACGTCGTAGTAAAATATCAAACAAACACACACACACACGCATACTAATGTTCTGAATTAAAAAATGTACACTTGGCTGCGGTGTAAGATTTGATTGGAAAACTCGTGCACGAAACGCGAGCGTTCTGCAGCACCTTTGTAGAATTTGTTTTTAATGTTTTATCGAAAATTCCAAAATCCCGGCTAACCGACCGAGTCTAGAACTCTAAGGTAATGCCAGCTCATTCTACGGTAATTGCACGGTTCAGTAAGGCGACCTTGTCTTCTTACATGGTCCGAAGTGACCGGTCTTATAGCACGGGCAACCGTTCGTTCGGGTGGTCTTTTTGAATAATATGTACAAATGGTATTAGTTGACGGTGTTCGTCGCCACCGCCGCGAGAAGGTCGATTTACACTGGGTTCGTTCCCACGGAGATTGACGGTTGTTATGGTCGAGCATTATACAAAGTTACTGCTAAGCTGTTCCCACTATGGCTGCCATGTCGGTGTGGGTCGTTTGAAGTTCACTTTACCTTAAAATCGCTAGTCGCTCGTCACTTCAATCAGTTACCGAACACGTTCTCCTCGCTACTTACAACTTGTTAAGACGAAAATTAACTTTGCACGTTTTGTATCTTTCAACAAAACTAATAAATGTCGTTTGACAGATTCCGTCCTTATTTGCTATGAGTCAGTGTTTCGGGTAATTTACTTTTAGGTACACAACAATTGTGTATAGCTCTAAGTCTTGTTATATATCTAGGTCAAATTAAATAAACTCTATGGTATTGTATGAGCATAACAATAGTTATATGAGGTTAAAATTAACGTTGAATTCTTTTGGTTTTATAAAACCAAATTAAAAAAAAAAACAGATTATACCAACTGTTAAAGTTTGAGCGTTTAACTCTAAATATTCGTTAATTAAAACAGATTATAATTTATACTTGATGGCAACTACATAAGTTTATATATAACAGCTAATTACAATTTATAAACTGCATACCACGTGCTGTACCGATTCATTTAAACGCGATCCTGTGGCTTTCATACATTTATGTATAAACAGTACATTTCTGTACCTGTACCATGCACTTTAAGGTATTTAATTAATTTTACTTAATCATATATGGTGTGTGGTAAAATCTGTTTCCATTCGTTAGTTTAAACAATGTCGATGTAACATTGTGTTTAATATTCGTCAGTGTAGTCTGTGTGGGTTTTATCAATATCAACTCTAGATTCGTGTCAACGCATTCCGACTTATGCAAATGTCTCCTGAGAGAACTGTCATCTTCAATATTATAATCGCCCGATTTCTGTCAAACTCAAATTGAAATATTCTCACAGCGTAGTGCAATATTGTTTTATATTCCGCATTTTAGATAAAAATCCGGATTCGCATAGGAAAAAAAACGACATTGTTATTATTATTTTTTTTTTCTGTTGGAACGAGAATTTATTTATATTTATTCATCGATAACAATGGGTTTGTGCAAAGTTTTATATCCTTTGGGTCGTTTTGTAAACCACACTCGTATCATTCGAAGGAGCTTTAGACCGAAAATAGTATAATCATATGGAAGGATGGAACGGGAAGGAAATCCGACGTTTGTGTTGACCATTCTTTAGGACCTTACCCTTGCCTCGTGCACATCCTCTCGTGGCCGCATACCCGGTTTTGTTCTATAATAATAATAGTTATAATATGATAATAAAATAATACAGCTTGTTTAACGTCGACGGGTTTCAGGTGGATTCATCAGTCATAATACAAACCGACATTGTGCTACAATAAACGATTAATTATCTATCTTAAACGATCACTCCAACCAACATCGGAGATTAATATGCATTCAACATAAGAACACCAATTATGAATTGTGAAAAATATATCGTGAGATTTGAAATTTAGACGTTAAGAATTACTTAGTTTTTAGCTTATGGATATGACGTGTAAAAAGAAAAAAAAACAAAAAAACTCTGGTATGAACTGATCGAACCAGCATTTAATTATTTGCATAGGCACCGTTGCAAATTTTATAAGATTACATTATTAGAACCTTATTATTTTCATCGTGCAAATTTAGGGAGTCTCTAAATCTGATAGCAAACATTATATTTTGGCTTAATATTTAATGGTTTCAAAAAATAATAAAATTACAGTTTTAACAATGTCTAATAAAATATAGTATCATTTACATTTATTGTGTTTTTTTATTGCTATACTGTATTGTTTTTTATTTTATCATTGATATTCGCCAAAACCAGCGTTTTAAAGTTAAACTTTTAATTAGAAACAATTATAAATTATTAATAACATGTAGTTTTAAATCATTAAAATAGTATTACAAGAACACAAAAGCTTGGCCACGCTGATCCCCTGATTTCATGGTCTAATCCCTTAACAATAACATTGGAATTATAATTTCTATACTGTCATGCACTAACCCCTATAGATTTATTGGTTTTTTTTTAAATTTAAATTTAAATTTATAGCTCGTTTGTGTAAAACAAGGAAACGTTTTAATTTATTCACTATAAACTTAGGGATAAAATATGGATCTTTTAGTAAGCTGTAATTCGATTGTTCCTGTTATGTTTAGATGTAAAATATATTTAAACAATCTTTTAATAGTTATTTTCGTAAAAACTGATTTATCTAACATAAAACGTTGTTAAATATTAATTGTTTATGTAAATAATGTATACTTAATAAATAATAAATTGATCATATTATACATACTAAGTTGTTCTTGTTGTATACAAAATCAATCAAGGTGTTTGAAATTCAAACACACATTTATTATAAAAAATAAATAATGCATGACCTCAATCGAAATTAAGGGGTAACTGTCAGCGTTGAAAGTTAAGAAAACGCCTAAAAATTAATTTTAATAGCAGAAATCAATATTATATGCTGTGTATGTTTAATTATTGTACATTCATAATAAACTTTTCCTTTGAATTGCTTTTGCATTTCAAATGAAGTAACAATAAAATAATTCTTCATTATTCGGACTTCATTGAAATATTCATACAGACACTTGGCCAAATAATACATATAAATATAAAAATAAACACACGAGGCGTTTGCTAGTAAGTCCTTGTTAAAGGAATGACACGACGTTTGGTTTTTAATGATGCAGAATTTTCAATAGGCCACGTGATAACAACGAAAAATAACATTGTTGTTGGAAATACAAAAACTGTATACATAAATAAATTACACGTTAGAACGCCATTAGAAAGAAACTAAAAAATGAAAAAAACGGCACGCCAAAGGGTTAATACACGTTGGATGATAAACAAAATGTCAATGTCGTGTGAAATTATTACGGTAAATTAATTCACACGTGATAAGAATTTGTTTTTACCGACTTAAACAACCCGTATATGATACACGTTTCGGTTTATATATGATAAAAATACAATACTCCAAAAACTCCAGATGGACCTTTTTTAAAAATTTCACGCGTCAAAAAGTTGCGCCGAACTGTGTGTTATCTAAATACACTTAAACATATTTTGTATACTGTACTGCATAGTTTTCCCTAAACAAATATGGAATAACCCGTCTGAGATGGAAAAAATAATCGGGCGCTTATCGCTTACATTTTTCACTGAACAAACGAAAAACGATTGAGGATCTAACATATTGCATTATATTGATCTCTAAAAGCGACTTTTTATCGTTTTGTTTGGTTTTCTCGCGGTAATTGACATAGTTAAGCCAAACTCTTGGAATTTAATTTAATTAAGTTCGGATAATCTTGCACGTTCAGAGTATTGCTCGTCGGACGGGTTGGCACACTTGATGGAACCTATCTCATATCCCCTTCGTTCTACCCCACAGGAGTGTACACACGTGTGTGGTTTCAGCCTTTATACATGGTGTTCCGTGAAGATTGACTACTATTTCCTAAGTAGATTTAAATGTCGGTCTCATTTGGCCTATACACTACATACTGTGTAAAACTGTATAAGTAAACAAAATCATAGGAAGTACATATTTTAAGAAAACGGAATTTTAGAAATCTCAATTTTCCTACAGTAGATCTTTGAATGAGTATAATATCTCGTGGGACACCCTGTATACTGTTTGTACGCGAAGTCATCAAGAGACCAATTTCTCACGCAAATCTAGCAGTTCCCTTTGATCACGTTTGTACTAACTGAATTACATTAGTTAAACGTGAATGGGACTCGCTAACATTCTAGGCGTACCCGCTGTCGGCCATTATATGCCATTAATCGGTTATATGACATTAAGACGATTCCTATGGTAGTAATTTATAGGTACACAAGATGACGGATGACAGCACATATTTAAATAATAACTCGGTTATTCGGATCGATTACAAAGATGTAGTTCATAACATTAATTGTTTTATAAAAACATAAAATAAATCCGCAACATTATCTCCAATAGACAATGTTGATTTTTTATTGTATTTTAAAAAAAAAATGTTGTTTTATCATTTTAGTCGTATAGCATAATTAAAAAAAAATTATCCATATCATACAACTTAATTTGGTATTTATGACACTATCGATTGTGATTTTTAGATAATTACAGAACGCGCTATAGAATAACGATAAGCTGGTTAGGCATTAAGCGGCATTGAATAATTAACGGTCACATATATTACTATAATAGCTGGTCCTAGAAAATAATTGTTATTACCTAACCGTCTGAGCCCCTGCGGGAAAATTAAACGTTTCGGATGACAATTTATTTTGTTCCGTCGTTCAAATAACTGTTTCGGCTAGAATTTCATTCTCCTATGTCGATACAACAATATATGGAACAAAACTTTTGCGTTGTACTCGTTAAAAGCAAACAGACGTTGAAACCCGATTCTTATAAAGTCCTCGACATAATATAACCGTAACATGTATTTTCATATGTATTTTTGATGATATCCGTTTTCTATTATGCAAAAAGGACAACAAACAAAATGTGTCGACGATTGATTAAACGATGCAAGTTTAAAAATCACAACACCACCTCAAATGTGCAGTGTTATTATTAATTATGCAATATTATTTACAAAACTCAACAACAAATTAGAAAAAGCAAACACCCGCGCGTCCGCTACTTAAATAACAGACATTTCAGAATAAATAAGACACAGTTTTTTCAGTACATACTAAAGAACTCGTTTCTGATCAGCACATTTTTCGCATGCCAAAAATAATAAACGTCTAAATCAATGAACAGTAATGCGTTATCGTTTTAATAATAATACAGTAATTCCGCACAAGGAGAAAATCCGGGAATCATTGGAAGCAAACAGGTCGAGCGTGCATTTTAAACAATATAAATCCCAGTATTCTCTCCTTGTCCATTCAGTTAATCCGGAAGTACGTACCAGAAAGGCCATTAGACGAGAAACAGATGTTACGACGCAGTTTCGTAATAACAACAATAATAATATAGTTTGACTTCTAGTACTAGACACTGGAGAGTAAGTTTTTAAAAGTATTCATAACAAAAAGCAAAAGAGCATACAAATAGTGTACTTATGTTGGATAAAGATTTATTTTACCGTCTTAAAAGTTGTAGCAAAGACTTCGATGCATGTACAACAGCTTGTTCAAAATTCTTGTAGTAGATAACACACCAACATATTAAATTTTTCACATAATTTCCTGATCATTTTTTTAGTTTACGGTACAATATGGGATTTTGGTCATTTTTTTCATCGGGTAATTTTAATTTTCTAAAACAATTTTTCCGTTTACCGATTTCTGTATAATCACATTTACAATTACATTATAAACTGTAACTCACATTTTTACGATGTACAAATTGTCTAAGTGTTTTACGTTGGAAGGTATTACGTTTGCTTAACGTTTAAATGAAATGTAAGCACAAATAATTAAATGTAGGATAATAATATATATTGTAAAAAAATAGTGTGTGATATTGATATTTGGTTTTTTTTCCATCAAACGCTATTTAAATATTATATTTTTGCGATGAAATATTGTCGAAACACATTATAATAGATATGTTTGATGTATAGAATAATATTATATAACACCATAAGACCGGTGTGTGAATTATTTTGGTAATTTGACACATTTTTTCAACTATACGCCCAGCCCGTCACGTCACTCATGCATTATTGAAATCACTTGAATTTTCAAACATGCCATTTGATGCATTTTAAAACACGGTTTAATGATTCGGCGTAGGCAAGTACACCAGATACCTATATAGCGTATTAGCGAGCGGCGTGGCGAAAAGTAACGACGCGATATACAATTTAAAAGCACTCCGACGTTGTGCGTACCTATGCAAGTTTAACGGGGAACACATAACAATATTTTTTCTTCCCTTTTATATATATTTTTTGACAACGTCTTTTAGGTGTCAAGACGTGTTTTATAACGCTATTACGCAAAATCTGTGACACTCGAGCACTGCCAAATTGGACGTAAACGCCGTGTAATTGGAGTACCGTGCGCCTCATCTTGTCACGGCACAACAGTATTCGTTTACCCGTCTTACGCCTCTAGATCATACCACGTAGATATAAGTACAATACATATGTTCTAACGGAAGTGCCGTAAACCCGTTTCGAAGCGCTTGGATTCGTTTTTTATTATTTCTATTCCTCGTGGAACAAAACAAAAACAAAAAAAAAAACACCGGACATCCGTAAATCATTTCTCGGTCGACTGCCTAGGTTTTTTTTTTTTTTGGCTTTCTCCGTTGACCGTCACCACCGTGCACAACCGCCGGTGACCTTTAACGGCCGTTATCAAAGGTCGGATTGTCTTGGGTTCCGACTCCGGCGGGCTTTCAATTTTCCACCGATAGGTCGTCCGAAAACGTGCTCGGAGGTACTCAATATTAATGTCGCGGTATGAAGAGATGCGTTTTTGCAAAAAAAAAACAGGGGTCGGCCACGGGGGGGGGGGAGGATAAAATGAGGGGCGACGGGAAAGCTTTAATGGATGATCGAATGGCGGGACGTGCGGCGGTGGAGAGAAAACAGCGCACCAGATGCTGTTCGGGCGCGTGTGTATCCCATATAGGGCCCGT